CATCTATGGTTGAAATACTGAAACATGCTTAAGGGATTTTCCACAGGACTTTAACATTAGATTTTCACCAGCACTGTGAAGAGTAGAGATCCAAAGATGGTATAAAATAGCCTCACTGCTTGTCCTATAAGAAAGAAGTTCTAAGAATGCTCTCAGTGATTGTTTGGAGGTAGGTGCTGGATGAATGGCATCTCCACTTTAAATTACACTCTAATTAGTACTGCTGCCTCATTTGAAATTATTTTGGTGTAATATCACCTATTCCAAGTAAGAAGAGCTTTAACAGAGGCACCAATGCTGCATTATATTTTCTTCTCATCTACTAAGCTTTCCCCCAGTTCTCCAGAAGAAAATGCTAATGGTCAAAATTACGCCTATGGAAATTCTTCCAGACTGCAAGCAAATACCTAGCAACTTTAAGACTGTATCAATCAGTTTAAGAATCCTAGTTTAACTTTCATTAGATTTCACGATCTGGAAAAAAAAGACAAGCTAACTCAAGCGCTCCGATCTGTTCTCTTCTGGTTTAGCCCTAATTCTCACTCTTCTGTCAGTTGCAATAACTGCATTAGCTATCTGATTACACAAGCCTATTAACAAAATGACAAATGAGAATGTATTAGCAGTTCTCCTTCCTTCTATCACCCACTTTCCTACCCCAGAAAATACCTGTAAACAAGGAACAATTGTTTCTAGGAGAGTTCAAGCTCAGAGTCTGCTGTGCCTAAATCAAATGTCATGACCACTACTTGATGGATGCACTTATAAAAGACTTCAGAACTACAACATGAAATTAGTTGTAAAATCAATTTAAATTCAAATTTGTTATTCCTCAAATGTACGTCACGCATGACTTGTTACTTTTTTACTGTATTAATCTAATGGGCACAGTTATTTGGGTAAAGCTGCCCTTAATTTAATATGACCCTCATTAAATTAAGCAATTCTGGAATTTGTCGTTTTAACAGCTCCATGGAGGCTGATTTTAATAGACCATAACAGAGAAAAATTGGTTAATTATAAAGGATACATGTATCTTCATTTTCACAGGCTATTTAAGGCTTACATTGCTTTGAAGCATTGGATTGATACATAAATCAAACAGGATAAACACTAAAAATGTCTGCCACAAGTTAAAGCCAATGAAGTTGTTTCATACCAAGCTGCTGCTCCCAGTGGGGAAAAAAAAATCCTTGCAGACTGAATTAACTGCTCAGGAAAGCAGCACCAGCAAGTCAAGAAATTTATCTGTGCAAAAATCAGAACTGTCATTCTCTCCTCATCTGAAGTAATTATGATCAAAACCAGAGCGCTGCAAGGTGACTCTCTCACCTGCAGACATCTACCATTTTGGCAAATCAGTTTTGCTCCTGATGTGTCACGCCATTCCACAGCGACCGTTCACACTTGCACGCTTTCCCTGGAGGATTAAATTCAAAGTAATTAGAAAACAGACAAGTCCTCCAAGGAGGAAAGAGGTTTTTGCAGGACCTATGGAAGGGTAAAACCGAGGTATGGTGATGCCCAGCACACACCAGGCAGCTAATGTGAGGCAACTTCATGTGCTGACACTGGATACTTAATCTTTCAGTGTGGTTCCTGAAACCAAATACTGAACAGTGAGCTGAATGCAGTACAACTCCAGGGCAGTGGGAAGCAAGCCTGAAACAACGTCTTCTATTGTTACACACACTGGACTTTGTGTATGTTGAAGAAATACTGCACATCTGTTCTGTGCAGAGTATTGCCCTTCAAAGCCATGTAAAATTAACCACTCCTGTATCCTCCTCTCTTTCCAAGCACAAAGATTAGATTTACAGAAGTAAAACTTCACCGACAGCACTGATGACTGCTATAAAGGCTTTTCATTACACTGTACCAGACACACTTTCTTTCACCATTGTTTTTATCCAGTTTTTACTAAGAACAGTACTTTAGCATTTAACCTAGTTTAGGAGTAATATGCTACCAGAAATCCCCAATTAATCCCATCAGTTTTTCAAAGCAGTCAAAGATCACCTAATAAGGCATGAAATGCATCACCGTGACTAATATGTAAGCTACCTTAAAGAAAACAATCAAAAGGTAAAGAACTGGATCCACTTACAAAAAGTCAGCCAGACACTACAGAATCATACAATATCCTGAGTTGGAAGGATCACCGAGTTCAACCCCAGGCTCCACAAAGGACCACCCAAAAGTCAAACTCCATGTTTGAATGCGGTGTCCAAATGCTCCTTGAACTGTGGCAGCTTGGGGCCATGACCATGGCTCTGGGAAGTCTATTCCATGCCCACTGCCCTCTGGTGAAGAACTGAGAGTACAGATGACCATACTGGCTGCCAGGGCACACTGCTGGCTCACATAAAACTTGCCATCAAGCAGAATCCAAGATCCCCTCCTGTGGGGCTCCTCTCCAGCTTCATGTCCCCTAGTTTGTATCTATAGCCAAGGCTGCCCCATCCCAAGGGCAAAATCCAGCACTTGCTCTCGTTAAACATCACGTAACTGGCAATTGCCCAGCCCTCCAATTTGTCAAGACCTCTCTGCAAGGCCTCTCTACCCTCAAGGGAGTCAACAATCCCTCCTAATTTAGTATCCTTCACAAACCTACTTTATATACTTTCAAATATATTACCAAAGTCATTGGTGAAAACGCTGAAAAGAACAGTCCCTGAAATGGAGCCCTGTGGAACCCCACCAGTGACTGGCTGCCAGCCTTGTGTTTACACAACATTTACAACAGCCATTTGTGCCCAAACCATCGGCCAACTGTTCACACGCTGCACTCTGCTTTTGTCTGTGTTGGACGTTTTGTCCAGAAGGATATTGTGAGAAACAGTAAACTATAGTAAACTTTGCTAAAAATCTGAGAAGACTGTATCAACTGGCTTCCCTTAGGCAACTAAGTGGGTCATAAAAGGAGATTAAGTTTGTTAAACAGGGCCTTCCCCCTCATGAACCTGGACAGGCTGTGATCAATGACTGCACTTTCAGACGTTTTTCAGTAAGCAATCTTTTCAGAAGAATGTTTTCCCTAATTCTGCCAGGCACCAAAGTGACACTGACAGGACTATTATTACCAAAGTCTTCTTTCTTGCCCAGCTCGAAAACTAGGACAACATTTGACAGTTTCCAGTTTATTGAGACCTCTCCAGATTCCAAAGACTGTTGAAAAATAATCGAGAGACATCTCACAATGACATCAGCCAACTCCTTCAGTACCCTGGCACGAATCCCATCACGCTCCATAGACTTGTATGCATCCAGCTGGAACAGCAAGTCCCACACAAGTTCAGGGTTTCTATCACCTATGTGATATCCCAACTAATGGCTGACAAGCTGAAGTCACCCATAAGGACAAGGGCATTTGATCTGGAGGTATCTCTGAATTCTTTAGAGAATAATTCATCAGCATCACCATCCCAACTGGGTGGCCTAAACTCAAGCAATAGGTTTACATTAAATTTGTTGACCCTTGTAGGTCAATTCTTCCCTTTTCTCCTTTCACCTGAAGGCAAGAGTAGCAGAAGCGAAGTGAGGATTTAAGAGGATAAGATCCCCCTTGAAAGTCCTGCAATCCAACATAGTCACTCCACTTTTCCTCTTACTGATTATAACTTCTCTTTCTACCAGTTACCTGGGAAATACAAGCAGTTCCAGCACTTGGCCTGTCAACAGCACTAAGGATTTTATTTCTCTGGGTACACATAGTTTCACTCAGTACCTGTGCGTCTTTCATATACTAATCATAAATGTATCCATAATTGCTTCCATGCATCTGGAAAGCATTATGCAGGGATCATTGCAAAAATAAACTCTCAGAGTTCCAGTCTGCAGTACAGCAGTTGCTAATACAGTGATCACACTGCTTAGTTTCAGTTTTCACTTCTCACACACCTGAAGAAGAGGCTTCCTCCAGAAAATGCCCATCTTTGGCAGTGATTTCCATTTTGCCAATATACAATAATATCACTCTACATTTGTGGTTTATCCTTAGCCCTTGTATTAACTCATCCTCTTACAAGAGGATGGGCTTGATGAAAATGTCAGCTGATGTTAGATTTTCTTAAAGATAAAAAACCTAACCACACATACCGAAGATGAGGAAGATAAAGAAACTTCTTAGAAAAAGTACAAATGACAGTACATTGAAAACAAATAGCCTTGCTTGTGAGCTCTGCTGCTCCTCCACCATATACAGTATGACTTCTTTGAGCAGCAGGGGACACTTGCAGTGCTAGCATAGCAGACTTCCAGACATCACTGCAATTAATACGGGGCACAAAGTGAACAACATCAGCACTACTTGTGCATACAGTAGCAAACAGCACATGTGCAGAAATGGAGGTAGTGAAAAGAGCAAAGCTATAAAGAAACACCAGTACTTTCAAGAGCACTACGAGCACATGGTCAGCCACAGTGACTCATCCAGCCTGTTCTCTTATTACATCCCAACCTGGTTGTCTTAGAGCACAAGGAGCCCCTGACATTACCTGGGTTCTTTCAGTTGCCAGAGTAAACATAATTGTTCAAAAATCACCACTTAAAAATATCCTGGTTTCATTCACCAGAGCATAGCTAGAGAGAATTTCTATTTTGACTCATAGAGATATACACACCTTGCTGACTAGACACATTAGACATCCCATATCAAATGAAAATTAACTTACCAGACAAGACAACCGAGGGAATAACAATAAAAAAGGCTTGAAAAATTAATTGCTTTTCAGAAGTGTAATGAATACGCTAGGCAATCATACCAAACGAGTATTTGACTTGGCACCTAAGAGCAGCTATATTTTTCTTTTTGGCTCTGGGCTGTCATTTCTTGCCACAAAATATTTAAGTTTAAACATATGTTCAGTTATAGATCTTGAGAAAAATACCTTGGGAAAATGTAAACTAAAACAAAAGACCGTGTTCCTTTCCCAGAACTAAAAAACCAACATAAATCACCACCGTATCCATTTAAGCATTTAAGTCAAATTAATATTTACCCATGAGCTGGATCCAAAGCTATTGCCCTGGGCTGATCAAGGTCTTGCCAGAAGAGGACTTTTCTAGATGTTCCATTGAGATTAGCGACTTCTATCCTATTGGTTTCTGAATCTGTCCAGTAAAGTTTTTTCCCAATCCAATCACATGCCAGGCCATCCGGGGAAACCAGACCAGAAATGATGACATTCTGCACCACATTCCCAGTTTGGTTAATATAAGTTTGCTTGATGGCTTCTTCGCTCACATCTGTCCAGAAAACGATGCCTTGCGAATACTGGAAGTCAACCGCAGCAGCATCCTCTAAACCACTGACCACCACAGTGGACTCCAGCTTTGTGCCTCCAGCATCCACGAGTCGAACATCCCGACGGTTGGCAAAAAGCAGGAAGGGAGATGCTACAGAAGAAAAAACAAAAACATATCAGTATTATTGGCATCTACAGACGTTAGAGTGCCGAGTATAAATACATCAACAGGTCAGGCACTACAGCAGAAGCAGCAAGGAAGAGAAAAATGCACAACACCCATAACCTATTGCTTCTATTCATCAGAAAAAGAAGTAGAAGACAGGGATGAGCAGACCCCATTTCCTACCCACAACAGGGCCTTCAGACAGAGGCCCTTTGACAATTCAGGACAGACTAATTTAGAACTCATTCTTACGTATTAGCAGGTAAGTTGAGCATTTAAGTAAGTAGAGACCAACAGGCAAGGTATTTCTAGTGTTAATATTGACATCTTGTCTATACAGAAAAACAAAAACAAACCCAAAACTCTTTGCTGCTGTACACACACTCCCCAATTAAACTGCGAGTGCCCCAAATCACGTGGTATGGGTTCTCCTCACGAGAACCAAGGTTTATTCACGACCAAGGTTTAGAACAAATTCTTCATGTTTTAAAGCTTCTCACAATGTTCTCACAGAAGACAAGTCCTGATGCCTTTTTAGTAGCAGGTTGGAAGCTAGCCGTTCTAGGTACCACAGACTGAAATGCTTGTACCAAGTGCCTACCAAGCCTCTCCCACCCCACAGAGTATTACAAAACTCTAGGAAAGGGAGAACAAAAGCGATGGGGAGTGAGGTAAAGGGTAGATTTTGGCAAGGGCATGATTCAACCCCACTATGTCACTAATCCCAATTATGCCATTGTGCCAGGCATGGCTGCATACACCAGCAGCTGTTTAGGAGAATGCCAGCATTCAGAAAAAGCCACTAGCTGCTGGAAGGAATGGAGCTCCCTCAGCCTCTCTGCAGATGGCTGAAGCCTGGTAGGGATTGTATGCCACGAAATTTCTATTTGCCCTTGTTGTTTTTTTCACCCTGAACCCCAGTATCCTTCCCCACTCCATCCCAATTCTTCTACATCAAACAGCAGTGGCTGGAGGCCTCCATCAGCTGACTGCTTACTCTTGATTCACGTGCCATCATTTTAACCAATGCTTCTGCTTCCAGAGTACATCCACCAGAGTTGCATAAGCTTGCCACTCACACAGAGCAGCAATGGCAGACACGTTATTTCATCTTCTGTGGCTTCAAGCCTGTGACATAAATACCTCTGGTTTCAAATTCACATTACTGAATCTAATAGATGAGGATTAGCTCTTGATATTGTCTTTCAGATTTAGATCCTCCCGTCCTTTAAAAAGAAGGCACTTCAACAAGCTCTGAGTCGCACGTCTGTGATGCAGGCAGCCCATCACACACAACTGCTTTTCCCATAAACTCTGGTTCCACGTGCATTGGAGAATACACGCCACTGCACAGGCCTGAGTGAAGCACATTCGTGGCAGCAATTCATGTATTTACGTGCAGGCCAAGGGCCTCAGTTAGAACCTGCAACTCAACATCAAATGAAATTAAAAACATGCATAAAAACTCAGCCTTTTACTAATGTTCTGCATGGCCTTTTTCCCCCCCCAAGCCAGGAAAGAGGTGGCTTTACTTTTCTGTTTTGGAGGAAGTCTATACTGATGAAAGTAATTAGGAAAATTTAAATCAGCTGCTGGTTTTGGTGAGAGTCTTGGATAGCAAAGACACGGGCAATTGTTAACACGAATGTTTCAATGACAATGCCTCTTGTTTTTTTTTCCCCCTCCTTACAGCATTTGTAACTCAGAAGTTTACATAGCTTGAAGATCATTATTTGTTAAGAAACAAAGTTCTGGTAACATTCCCATCTCATTTCCTAACTTGCCACGTCCTTCCCTCTGCCATTTTTAAAAGCGCCAGTGATATCATGAAAACCCAACAGGTTAGTAGTTATTGAAACCAGAAGAAAAAACATTTAGAATGCAAAATGCTTGGTTTCCTCTCTGCAACTCATTGTTTCCCCAAAGCTATGTCTATTTTAAGTGGCACTATACCAAACCGTCTGAACACTTGGAAAGTTTGATGTTAGCACACTCTGTTTAAGTCCCAAGTTCTTTGGGGCAAAGAATTTTTCATTTGTGCATAATTGCCTTACCAAGCTTGTCCCATATCCAGCCAAAGACTAAATGCATAAAAAGTCTACAGACAAGACATATATTGTCCCCACAACGTTTTAAGGAATACGAAGGGACAAGTTCTCATGTAGACATTTCGACACCAAAGCCATTATAAACACTGCTACAATGGAAAAAGCAACCTGAAACATCAAGTCCAATAAACAGCAGAGGAACTCAACAGCTTCTTAACTAAAGATCAGACATGAACAATGTCTAATCCAATCAGTATCAATATTATCCCAGTTCCCCATCACTTTCAAGAAATTTCTTCCCCACTGATGCACACAGCAGGACAACAGCATACAGATAACACATTAACTACTGTGCTGACTGTCACTTCTGTGCTTTGGAGTTGTCCTGATTGAAGAACGGATGCATTGTGTTCCCTACGAACACCCAGCAGGGAAATTGTACTGACCTGCTTGCAATTGTGTTAAGATTTTACTGCATTTGCACACTGACGTAAACTGATCGATTACTGAAAGATGCACAGAGTTCATCCTTTCTGAGAACAAATGAGAATTTCATTTCCTTCAGGGAAGAATAAACAAATACATTTGACAGATTTTGCCAGTTATATTCACTTCTCCACTCCTTCTCACTATCCCGTTTTATTCTGACCACATTTTGCAGATCTCATCACACAGTCCTATTAGAGTACTGCTGTCACAGAGACAAAAAATATAAAATATATAAAAAATAAAAGCAGTTATTTAAAAAAAAAAAAAAAAAAAAAAAAAAAAAAAAAAAAAAAAAAAAAAAAAAAAAGGAACACTGCTTACAATGCTTGTTGCTTGTAATGCTGCTGCTGAAGAAATAGAAGCTCTCCCAACTTGACCAACCACAGGTCATCTTGACCAAAGTCAGAAGACAGGCTAAATGTGTTTCCACAGCTTTGCATTTCTTGCCTTAGGTAAGAACTCTGAGTCAGCTGCAGGTGACAGCTCACAAGCAGGCGAAGGCAGCTTTGTTAACTCTACATCAGCATCAAGCAAATACAACCTCTGAAATAACAAAAGTTCACAGAATTTTGCAAACTTCCAACTTTCTCAGAGACCAAGCAGTAAATCTGCAAGGAGCAACCAAAGTAGACAAGATTCCAAGAAAGACAAGTAAGACAATTATTTTTATACATATCATTACAGCCAAGGGCTGGGCTCCTTTGGGTAGCCAAACACACCGACTTTTCTGCTCAGAGATGGGGGACAGAGAGGAATTTGCTCCACACCTCAGCTCAGGCCCCTAATATGTTAGCAAGTGCTTCAGAGCAGCTTGTTTCACAGAATAACCAACTCAACAGCTTAACAATTCCAAAGATACACTCATTCTCAGTATTATTCTAGCCTTTTTTTTCCCCAGACATTAGAATGAGAAACCAAAGAAAGCTCAAAAAGCAACAGAACTAATTATGCTGACCAAATACTTAATTTGCTATGCCATCACCAAACCACCTACCACCCTGTAGATTCAAGATCATCCCACCAACACATGGCAAACAATAATTTTCAGTTCCACCTGTGCGTAGAACAGAAGGTTCATCTCCAGGAGTGTGAAAACCAACCTCGACTCATCCTGTCTTACTAACACACACGAGTCCTTGAAGGACTCGAAGATTCCCCCATGATAGGGGGGCTGGAACTAGCTGGTCCTTGAGGTCCCCTTCAACCCAAACCATTCTATGATTTCATCTTCATAAGTCTACTGTAAAACTCTCAACAGAGCAAACTGGAAAGCCAGTTAATAACAATTTCTGTTCTTACTACCGTCTCCAACTTCTTCACCCCATAAACTCAGTCATGTTTATTCTGTTGAACCACCAGTGCATTTCTACAGAAGTCTGAGTGGAAGCAGTAATTTATAAACATTGACACCACAGGCTGTATACAAAATCCATATGTGGTCAGCTCATTTTGCATCCCACTCCAGGCTCTTTGAAACCTCTTTTTACTAAGGGACAGTGGGGAAAGGGAGAGACATGATGAGGACTCCGAAGACTAACAACTTTGACTAGCGCTGACCTTCAAATGAACTCATCTGTGCTAAACAACAAGACGCAAGAAACCTTGCTTGAGAAATTATTTCACAGCTAGCAAGTCCCAAGGGTCTCAAAGGAATGCTGAGTTCTATGTTCTATTTTCATCAGCAATGCTCCTGACAACTGCAAATTGCCTGAAAAAGGAAACCAACTTCTATTTTGAAAAGAGAAAAAGAATAAACATTACGATGATGAACGTGAAGGACAAGCTGTTTACATACAGCCTATTACAACCCAAATGAAAAGGCAAAATTTTTACGTAGATGGCAAAAAAAAAGTTGTCCTCTCTTTCAGTAAATCTAGAACAGTTCATATTTTGCCATAATAGGCAATATTTAAAACTTCCATACATAGTTGCAGCTCATAATCCTCTGATAAAGCAAAAAGAGAACCTGAAGTCCCATGAAATATCAAACAAAATGTACATAGATAACAACCTAAACTGCTACAGTTTATGTACAGATGTATAGCAATTCTACAATCACACAATAGCTGTAGAACATCATTCTAGAAAGATACTATACTCAACAAACATCGTTTTGCTAGTGATCTGCTAATTGGAAAACACACCCTTGCGTTTATGACAGAGCTATTTACATGCAAGAATATTGCACAAGAGGGTGAAAATACAGCTTCCCATCAGTTCATTAACCAGTCTGAAAACAGTCCTCAGCAGCCTGAGTAGGGATCAAGCCTGGGCTCAATTTCCAGCTTTGCTACAGATCTTCTGAATGCTCTTGGCAAACCTCCTGTCCTCTGTGTTAGGTAGATTTAACTATGGAATCAGAATAGTTTTTACCTGCACCACAAAAGATGTCCAGTGCATACAAAAAAACAGAGGAATTATGGTCCTACTATACAATTCATTTGGTTG